TAACATTAGGAGGTGTGGGTAGCAAACCAACCCCCCAACAAGAGCTGTCTTCACCCCTGGCTAACCAGAGTCTGCTACTTCTTCTGGTCCTTGGCAATCTAACTGATGCTCCAGATTGTCCGAATCCTTTCCGCCAGGCGATCACTTCCTTCAGGAATACTCAAGGTATGTATTTTTTTTTTGCATCTGCTTCCGCTCATCATTTGGGGACTCCAAAGGCAAGGTTTCACATAGGTCAGAACTCTGCTTACTTTGGTTTATTATCTTGCTCCTTCTGTTCTAGTTAATGTAAGGTGCATGGAAAACGGAGCAGTATGACCCCCCCCCCCCCCCCCCCGTAACTGGCTTGACAGCTGTGTAAAGATCTCACCACTGGGGTTCTTATCGAAAAGAAGGTTAATTCAACACTTTATTGCAGATCCAAAAGGGAAATCGTTTTAGGTGGATTCAACTTTTTGCAATGTTCTCGCAATCTATTAAAGGAACAGTCCTCCTTGTCTTGCCTGTAGAATTCCAGTTGGCATTAGGTAAAATATATTCCTTATGCACACTAACATTGACTGAAGTAGTGTTTTGTGTTTCACAAAATCTTTATTGGATTTTTTAAAAAAGCTTTTTCAACAAGCAAAACAGAAGATGTAAAGGTAACCTTCAGAATTATATGTACAGCAGAAGCAAGGCTTGAATTGAAGATTTCTGCCTGAATATTACAGTGGCAATTGTAGGCAAATGCAAATTATTACAATCAGCAGAGCACCAAGGGCATCATTTATAGCTTCAAACAGGGGGATAGTAAAGATGTTAGAGGGGAGTACTCCACATCAGCAAGTAAGAGCTGCTCTGTGGAATAATGGGGCGCCAATTCGACCAAAGACAAAATGTAAGAGTTAAAAGTAGAGTAGAGTTGGGTCTAGGCAATGGGGAAAGAAGAAAAATAGAAGGCCAAAGATGAAGGAAGAAATCAGAAGTAGTATTTGCCTGGGTTAAGGAGGAGTGGAAGGGAAGGGGAAGCAGAGGATTGTCCTGTGTGGACCACCAACTGGGTGCTGCAAATTTGGGCAACAGTTATCCTCATACCGAAAATAGGGTTCGGCCAATTGCTTGTGTGTTAGAAGAGATCTAAGGGTCCCAGATCTTCAAGAATTTGAGTGTCTTCTAGTATGGAAGTGAGCTTCTCATAAACCATAGTTCCCATGAGCCGCTGTTGGACCTCGTGAAGTAAAGTAATGTGAACATCCCCTCTTTGAAGTGAAGTAGTGCCACATCACAGAGGGGATGTGTCGTCTGATATTTAGTAAACCTTTTTTATTTTATTTATTTATTTTTAAAACATGAACCAGTGCCTACTCACAGAGTTTGAGATGTCCATTTCATTGCACAATGTCCAATCTTTTTATTTCAGACAGCTCTGTTCCACCCAGTCCCAGCTTGCACTCATTCCAGATCAATTTCAACAGTCTGTACACAGCCCTCTGCGAACAGCAGACGTCCGACCAGGCCACCCTCCTCCTGTACACCTTACTACACCAGAACAGCAACGTTCGCACTTACGTCCTGTCCCGCACAGACATTGAGAGCCTTGTAAGTATTGCTTATAATTTATATATATTTAAAGAGAAACCTTTGTTGACAGAACTAAGTGGGCCAACCTCTTCTTCTGAAAATGCCAGTTGCCTTGCTGTCTTTCTGATACACTAGCACTTTGAGTCACTAACCTGAAACACATACACAGAGCATACATTCTAACCTCTCTTTTTGCACTTTTGTTGCATGCTAGCTATTGTCAACTAAGTAGACCTATGGCTATTACTATTGATTTGGCAGCTTTTTAAAAGGAACCCGTCCACAGAGAAAAATGTTAGCGAGACAGTGGTCATCTGAAGTCTCCCAACTTCTGAATGTGCACTGTGGGTCATGCAGCTGACATGTAACCAGTGTCAGATTTCAGGTGACCTATGGACCACCTGACACCCCAGTATCTCAATATTAGAAACGGTAAGTCAAATAAAGGGGAAATATAGATATTCTTAAAGCGGTATTAAACTCCAAACCAATGTGATGCATTTCTTTTCTTTTCACCCGGTGATCTGGTCGGTAACAACACACCTCCTGTATTAGAGTGCCTCCACTCTGGATGACAGAGCACAGGGGGCACCTTTGGATGGCAGCATTGTCAGTCTGAGGGGTGTGGAGTGTTGGATGTACTAGCAAATTTAAATACACTAACAAATTGATGGCAAACTCCAGCTCACACTTCATAATCAGTTTACAGCATAGTTGTTTTTTCCTTTTAAGATAAAGGTTTTACATGAATAAATAAAAGCTGATTGTTGTAAGCAGCCCTGCTAATGTTGTATGGTTTGTCTCATCCCTGTAAACTGATACTACTGCAGGATAGCTTGTTCTTTTGAAAAACAGACTTGCTGGCTGAATCACCAAATGAAAATGTAAGAAAGAAAGCATAGTTCACACTGGCATTGAAAGCAGACGAAGGGGCGTTTTTAATGCGCCTCAAATGCCTATGAAAATACTATGGGTAATACATAGTGCTGTTCACATAATTACAACATGAAATGTTAGCATTGCGTCACTTCAAAATTATATAGCATCATGTCAAGTCAGGAGGAGTTTGAAGCCTTTCAAGTCTATGGTGACGCTCCACTAATGCGCTGGCAGGTGTAGGCGGGGCATTTGCAGTGCGGTTGTGGCACGTTGATAACATTATAGTTTATTACAGGCATTTGTGGTGTGTTTTTAACGCTTGTAAAACACTTCAAAACTGCACATAGGGCTTTGGAGAGCATTTTTTAATAAGGATATAATACTCATGCACTGCCACAAATAAATGATAAGCTTCTGCAAGCACCTAAATGTGTTCCCACATCAATAAAACTCCCCAAGAAGCGCAGCGCTATTCTTGTGGAGAGCGTTTTTAACACTTGTAAAAAGCCAGTCTAACGCCCATACCGAAGCTGATTAACCACTTTCTAATGCCCATACTAAAGCTATAGGAACGTTGGGTAAGAGTTAGGATATTAGTCAAGTGTGAACAAGCCCTAAAAAAAAAAAAAAAAAAAAAAAAAAACTAATGCAGCCACCATCTATTGGTAAGCTGTAATATAATACATTTTTGGGGGGGTTTTGGCCAATCAGTGATCACATGCAAAGTAGTAAGCAAGATGTCACTTGTGACATCATTGCTTACTACGTGTGAAATCTGTGAATGATCACAGAGGTCACATGGTGCAAGCCTATTCACAACAGCCTTGTACCATGTGACAAGCTGTGACCAATCACAGCTCACTCAGTATTTCTCAATGACTGCAAGAATGCAGACAGAGAGAAAGAGAAATGATTGCTTTTACATCCTATATGGTTGTAAAAAGCAATCAGTGTAAAAAAAAAAAAAAAAAAAAAAAATCTTCATCACCCCCCACAAGTAGTACAGTGTCACTATGGGGACACTGTACTGCTAGGGTGACAGTATGTAGAAAAAAAAAAAAATAATAATATAAAAAAAAAAATGTAAAATAAAGTTTAAAATTTATTTTTGGTTATAAACTAATTTGGATTTTTTTTTTTACTAAAAAGATAACGGAATAAATTTTGGCCAAGATTTATGATTAAATATTATTTATTTGCAAAATTTTAAATACCACTTTTTTCAAAATTTTTGGACTTTATCATTTACATAGCAAAAAAAAATAAAAATCCCAGCGGTGAATAAATACCACCAAAATAAAGCTTTATCTGTCTCAAAAAAAAATGGTAAAAAATTCATTTGGGTACAGTGTGGCATGACCGTGCAATTGTCATTCAAAGTGTGATAGTGCTGAAAGCTGAAAATTGCCCTGGTCAGGAAGGGGGTAAAAGTGTCCGGTCTGGAAGTGGTTAAAGATATAAATTCTTTAAAGATTTCTGGATCCTTATTGTTCTCTTTAAAGTAGGCTGCTTCTGTCATTAGAAAAGAGTTGGTCTCTTTTAAGGAAAATAAGAAATAAAAACAATAAAAAGATTACCTTTTTGACACAAAATATCCATGTTTAGAAAGGCATTAGGTGTTCAGAGTGAAAAATGCGGGTGCTAAGCTCTGAGACAAACGCCATACTGCTCCCACTCTGATGGGAAATCCTAATCAGAAAGGAAACTAAAGTCCGATTCCACCTATAGAACAGATCCCCTCAATCCTGAAGACCTCCTGCTCATTTCTTTTAAAACAAAATTGAATACAATTGATGGCCTCTGCATGGGCGTGTCTTGTTGCTCTTGTTTTTTTTTTAAATGTTTATAAACTAATAAAAATCATTGAAATACAAAAAAAAATTGAATACAGACATGCCCGAAATCCAGAAGTTTTCTTGGCGATGTGCAAATGACACAGGTCCTTTCCCCTTCTTGCCGACTTCATGTGCAGATTGCAGACATCTGTGTGATTTCATTGACGCAGATGTCAATGTAGGCCGCACATGAATTCGCACAAAAGTAGTGCAGGAACTTTTTTCAAAGTCGCTGTGACTTGAGTTGCAATTTCAACGGTTCCATTGTAGCAAATAGTGTGCAACTTGTCATGCAACTTTAATCTGTCAAATTGCATGACAATTTGCACCGGTGTGAGCCAGGGCTTCTCTGACTTTTGAGAGCTGTGCTGTCCCTGAGGTACTATGTATCCAGTTTGGTGTAATAATGTGCCCCCATTGATGACCTGGGTTCCCAGAAAGCTGATTGGATGCCGCTGGACATAATTCAACACATTTTTGGATCATATGATCAGTTGAATGATTGTATTGATAAGTTTGTGTCCCCCATTTCAGTGGTAAGTACCACAGGGATGATGATGCTTCATGCAGATATGCATAGAATGGAAGGGATCACAAATGGGAAACATGGTGGGAGTTTAAGCATTGGGCCTGTGGTGTAACATTTATCTGTTGTGTTTAAAGGTCCTGCCCATACTGGAGATCTTGTACCATGTTGAGGAGCGGAATTCCCACCACGTTTATATGGCTCTGATTATTCTTCTCATCTTGACAGAAGATGATGGCTTCAATCGCTCTATTCACGAAGTGGTAAGACTTTTACTGTGCCCAAGAATGCAACACATGAATGGAAACTTCAGGAATTACCCTAGATACCAAGAATTACACGAGCTTTGCATGAAAAAGATGACTTTCATGCAGTATAATTTTCTCACGCATTATGTAAAATCGTGGCCAAGTTCTGGTGTAAATGGCCTGGCCATTTTGATCTCCTGGCTTTGCTGATCATGTATGTGGGGTCTCCAGTCGACTTTTTTTTTTTTCTATAAAGCTGGATATAGACAGGTAGTTTTTGGCTGAACGAAAAAAAAATAACAGATTCTCCATCCACAAAAATAAAATCCCTCCTGCGGGGCATTGTATTCTGACAGCTGGACCTGGTGATGTTAGAATACACTAATCAGCGACTGTAGTTGTTGAGTAACAAAAGGTTTCCAACTTGTCTGCTCGACAGAAATCAGTCAAACAATTTGACTTCCGCCAAACTGCAATGGCCACTCACTGATTGAAATTTTGATCAGTCTATGGCCTTGGTGCCCAACATGCCTTTGGTATATGATGTGCAGCCCTCATACCTCAACAGTCTGTAGTTGGAACATTACAGAGGGTAATAGCATTGATCTCCACTAGTCTCTCATGTAACATGTTCCCATTTTTGTTTTATCTTCTGCAGCATATACCCAGCCAAAAATGTAGCATGTCCACACTCACTGACCTTCATTAGCTCTGCAGTTTCTGACAGTCCTCTCAAACATTATATATACTGAACATTATGTACGGCCCTCTGGTGATGTCAGAGGCTGCATTTGAGGCCCCTTTTAGATCACAAGTTGACAGCCACTTGTTTATGGCCAGCTTAACTTCACAGATGCACCAAGGGAAGAATGTGGCAAGCTCACTCATGTGACTTCTAAGCATAGGCAGCTTAGATCACATGGTCTGTGGTTGTCAGAAGCATTATTGGTGTTTCCAGGGCACATGCAGGAGAACCTGAAACCATACAGTGTGCATGTTCCTGTGTGTCAGTCTATACATAGAAATTAGGTTTTAAAAACCTTGAATCAGAGCTTCAACTACCTGAAGCCCCCCCTGCCCCCCCATCACACCCCAGTGACATTTCAAGTCGTTGCGTTTCTCCTGTGTTTAGTGGTGGGTTGTCCTTACTGCTGCAATAAATGGCACACACATGTCCTCATGTGCAGTAGCAGTCTGAGCCCAGGCCCCACATACACTCTACTATGCTAAAGTCTTGGGCAGGTGTGAAAAGAAAATGCTGTAAATTAAGAATGTTTTCAGAAATAGAAGTGTTAATAGTTATTTATTAATTAACAAAAGTTAAATTAAATGAATTTAAGAGAAATCCAAATCAAATTGGTGCTTGTATGACCGCCCTTTGCCTTCAAAACCTCAGCAGTTCTAGATAGACTTGCACACAGTTTATGAAGGAACTCGGCAGGTAGGTTGTTCCAAACATCTTGAAGAACTAAGCACAGATCTTCTGTGGATGTAGGCTGCCTCAGATCCTTCTTTCCCTTCATGTAATCCCAGACAGACCTCACGATGTTGAGGTCAGGGCTTTCTGTAGGCCAAACCATCACTTCCAGGACTTCTTGTTCTTTACACTGAAGATAGTTCCTAATGACATTGGCTGTATGTTTGGGGTTTTCCTGCTGCAGAATAAGTTTTGGGGCCAATCACACGCTTCCCTGATAGTATGGCATGACGGAGAAGTATCTACCTATATTTCTCAGCATTGAGGACACCATTGATAGTGCACCAATCTCCTCCATTTTCAGAATTACAACCTTAAATTTGCAAGGAACCTCCACCATGCTTCACTGATGTCTACAGACACTCATTATTGTACCTCTCGTTAGCCCTTCACGAACAAACTGCCCCCTACTTAAGCCAAATATTTCCAATTTTGACTCTTCAGTCCAGAGCACCTGCTGCCATTTTTCTGCACCTCCGTCCTATGTTTTTGTGCATGGCTGGGTCGCTTAGCCTTGTTTCCACAATTGAGGTTTGGCTTTCTGGCCGCAATTCTTCCATGAAGACCACTTCTGGCCAGTCGTTTCCACCAGTCCTGTGCTGATGGCACTGCTGGACATCTTCCAGTGTCGAAGGGAAATAAGCTTGCTAGGTCTTGTATATGCTGCATTAAAGTATATGTTAACCCTCACCTTGTAAAAGAACTCATTCAGTTTAAAATGAAAATGAAAGGCAAAACATTTGTATGTAGATACAACATAATACTTTTTTTTTTTTTCAAGTGATCACATTGCTTCTGTTCTCAGCTGCATAAGAGCTGGGGGTGGAGAAACGTCAGCACATGGTCTTCCCAGTGAATGGCTGTGCAGAGGAAGTGGGTGTAAGGAGAAGTTTGATCATTGGAGGAGAGCAGGCTGATTTCCCAGCATAGCCAGAAAACTGACCACGCTGTGCTCTCATGCCTAGCATGCTCAGTTTTTAATAGGAAAGCAGAAGCAGACTGGCAGGAACACCAGGAGTTTCACACAAAAGAAGCAATACTAAGAGAACAGGATGCTTTTTCATTCAAGTTTATGGTACTGCAGACAAATACCAGCAATATGAAATGTTGGGTTTTCATACTCCAAGTTTCCCTGGCTGATCACTGTCCACGGTCCTCAGTGTTTCCTGTTACTTTGTGCTTCTTCAGATGAGCTTGAACAGCACACCTTGAAACTCCAGTCTGCTTTAAAATCTTTGCCTGGGAGAGACCTTGCTGATGCAGTATACCTATCTTGTGTCTTGTTGCTGTGCTCAGCCTTGCCATAGTGTATGACCTGTGACATGAAACTGTCTTCCACAACCTCACCTTAGTAGCAGAGTTTGGCTATTCCTCACCCAGTTTTAAGCCTTCTGTTTCAGCAAAAGAGGAACTGCACTGCATCTGAGCACCACAAACCAAACACTCTATTTAATTATTTGTTAATATTCAAAGTAAACTCTTTCATCCATCCATTTCTCCGTTCTTTATTTTGCTGAAAAATCACTTTGAAAAACACCCCTGGCATTTCTGGCAGTGGCCATCTTGAGTAAGGACAGATGATTCATGTAGCATTTACTTTTTGCAATCCATCTGCCCTAAGCTCAGGCAGTGGCTGAGCTGAGAACCCTTCCTCCCCTCCTGAAGACTGCTGGGATGTATGACATTATTTGCCTAGGCATGGAAACCAGGAAGTAACTGAAGAAAAAAAAAGTAAAACAAGTAAATACCGTATTTTTCGCTCCATAAGACGCACTTTTTTCCCCCCAAAAAAAGGGGGAAAATGTCAGTGCGTCTTATGGAGCGAATATGGAGCGGCCGGTCCGGTATTTCCACTGCCGCCGTGTCAGAATACCGGGCCGGCCGCTCAGCTCTACAGCGGGACCTTATAGAGATGACTGCTGACCTTTGGGGAGGGAGGGGGAGCGGGTACCTGAATTTGACAGGTACCCGCTCCCACTTCCGTGGAGTTGTTCTTTCATCTTACCCGTTCCTCTATCCAGCAGCGCGGTCTTCCCGGCTTCTGTAGTGTGGGCATGACAGCCGGGTGCCAAGTGCGCATGCGCAAGAAGCGGTGCTTTTTGTGAATGGTAAGGCGGCACCTGGGACACATGACAGATCCCAGAAGCCGCCGGACCAATCACAAAGCGCAAGTGCTTCTCGCTCATGCGCACTGGGCACCCGGCTGTCATGCCGAGCGCCATTACAGAAGCCGGGAAGACAGCGCGCGGCTGGATAGAGGAACAGGTAAGATGAAAGAACAACTCCGCGGAAGTGGGAGCGGGTATCTGTCAAATTCAGGTACCCGCTCCCCCCCTCCCCAAAGGTCAGAAGTCATCCCCTGTACTATCCACAGTCTCTGGTCATTCCCTGTACTGTGTCCGCAGTCTCTGGTCCATCTCCTGTACTGTGTCCGCAGTCTCTGGTCATCCCTGTACTGTGTCCGCAGTCTCTGGTCATCTCCTGTACTATGTCCGCAGTCTTGGTCATCCCTGTACTGTGTCCGCAGTCTCTGGTCATCCCTGTACTGTGTCCGCAGTCTCTGGTCATCCCTGTACTGTGTCCGCAGTCTCTGGTCATCCCTGTACTGTGTCCGCAGTCTCTGGTCATCTCCTGTACTGTGTCCACAGTCTCTGGTCATCTCCTGTACTATGTCCGCAGTCTCTGGTCATCTCCTGTACTATGTCTGCAGTCTCTTGTCATCCCTGTACAGTGTCCGCAGTCTCTGGTCATCTCCTGTACTATGTTTGCCTCTGGTCATTTCCTGTACTGTGTCCGCAGTCTCTGGTCATCTCCTGTATTATGTCTCTCTGTCCTCTCCTGTACTGTGTCCGCAGTCTCTGGTCATCTCCTGTACTGTGTCCGCAGTCTCTGGTCATCTCCTGTACTGTGTCCACAGTCTCTGGTCATCTCCTGTACTGTGTCTACAGTCTCTGGTCATCTCCTGTACTGTGTCCGCAGTCTCTGGTCATCTCCTGTACTGTGTCCGCAGTCTCTGGTCATCTCCTGTACTGTGTCCGCAGTCTCTGGTCATCTCCTGTACTATGTCCGCAGTCTCTGGTCATCTCCTGTACTGTGTCCGCAGTCTCTGGTCATCTCCTGTACTATGTCTGCAGTCCATTAGTTCAGAATTTTTTTTCCTGTTTTCTGCCTCTAAAACCTAGGTGCGTCTTATGGTCAGGTGCGTCTTATGGAGCGAAAAATACGGTATACTTTGCTATCCATTTACTAATGCTAGCAGCATAAGGATTAAAATTAGTCCATTTTGATTGAGGGGTGAAGTTCCACTTTGACTTTGTGTCAACCTAATTGTGTCGTTTGTGAGCAGAGCTTGGTAGTCCTACAGTGAGATCTCACCAGTGAGTCCAAATTACTCAACCTGAAATTTTATTATACAGTATTTATATAGCGCCAAAGGGTATGCTCAGCGCTGTACAGTAGCAAGGGGGACAGAACATGAGACAATACAGTAACAAAACAGTACACGAGGGGTTCGAGGGCCCTGCTCTTTCGAGCTTAC